CCCCAATACTATATCTGGGACAGATTTTTTGAAGGCAAAGCTAAAATTTTATACTATTATATTTCACTTTGTTAGAGTCAGCCCAATTTTCTTGCCTGGCACTATCTTTTTGGATAGTGACTTTGTTATCCAGTCTGTTAGCTGTTTCATAGCTTTATTTAATCTGTTTATTTGAGAAGGATTGCCATCTATGCCTTTTTCCAAATAACTGATTAAAATGTTACAGTAAAGGACCCAATTACAGATCTCTGGGTCACTCTACTGACAAAATTTTGCACTTTTTACATGTTAACACTGAACCATTAATGATTACTTTTTGAGTCCATATAATAGTATTATCATCTATCCCTACACCATCTTTTCCACAAGAATAGTGAGAACTACTCTATCAAATGCTTTCTTAAAACCTATGTAAACTGTATGTATACTATTTCTTGTATTCTACCACAGTTTAAAAACCTTGTTGAAAAAAGGAATGCTTGTAAGGCATGATTTATGTTTTTTGAAGCCATAGTTAAATGTGAATACTAATTTCTCTAATTCACTAAATATCTCTCCAATAAATAAGTTTTGGAGCATTGCCAAGAAATTTACTAGACGATGGTTTGTATTGTTTGCTTCTTTTCCCTTTTTAGAAAAAAAAGAGATATTTGCCCTTTTCTAGTCCTACAGTATTCTCTCCTGTTCTCCAGTCACTAAGAGTGGTTGGGGAATCATAGCTGCCAATTCTTTCAGTATCTAAGAATGTAGTTCATCTGTTGAAGAGAACTGCTCCTGATCATTCTGTATCCACAGAACATTCTACTCTCAATTACTTGCCCCTGAATCATTTGTTTCTAGCCAACACTGGATGTAGGCAGGTGGCAGATGCAGAACCCGGCAGTGGGAAAAGGTGGACCTTGGACTCTTAGGGATGGCACTGAAAGGAACAGAGGCAGTGGGACAGTTCACAGTTATGGGAAGGGCATCCTCAGAGCAAAGCCATGGTTTCCTGTCTGCTACTTAAGGCTCTGAAAAATAGCTCCTTCTTTCAAGTTTATATTCTTTAATTTCAGCAGGAACAATGACTTTAATGGACTGTAATTGATGGGTCTGAGATTTCTTTTCTATTATGTATCTTTGGCTTTTTTTTCCTCTCTTCTATCTGAAATCTTAATATTCACTTAGTAATTAGCTCACTGATGCTTTATATTTATCTTATGGAAACTTTAAATAGACTTATTACAATATTCAGGCATAGCTGAATCTCTAAGAACTCCAAATGATCTTCATTTAGTCAATTTAAGTGAAATTTTATAGCCCTTTTGCAAAATTTTGTTTGTATTTTGGGATCATCTCTGCTGAATATTTACTTCAACATTTCAGGGATCCATACTTTCATCAATATGATATTTCCTTTCACCAACAGAAGTAACCCCCTTAGATTTAATAGATGGTCTTCACAAATTATTGTGGCCAAATAACCCCCCCAAAAAACAAAAAACAATCACCTGCTGGCTGGTCTTTGGTTAATGAGTCTCTGCAAACTCAGATATCCTAGTCCTAAAAAAGCAGACCCAGTCTTCCCCTGGAAGTCACATTTGAAGCCACTGAGTACAATGAGATCTGCTTTATCTTGTGTTCTCCTGGCACAGCCTGGGAGAATACCAGGTTATCTCTATGCCAGCATGAGATATTCCAGAGACTGTAGAGGAGGCACAACAAAATGCCTGTATTTGAGCTTTGGTAACTTTTAGGGGCCCTCTTGTGATGGTTTGTGCTTCATAATGAACATGAACTAGAATTTTAATTGAGGATATATAAGAGGAGCATATTGAGCCAGAAAAGTGGGCCGCTGAATTGGATAGCTCCAAGCATACATTATCAAGTGCTTCCTACAATTGTGATGTGGTTAGTTAGTGAAACAGATACCAATTCCTGGGCTAAAAAATTGAATTCTATCATTGAAAGAATTTTACTAGTGACAAAAGGTTGTTTAAAAACTCACAAGAATCCATATGCATTATTTTATTCTTTGTAATATGACTTCTGAGGGAATCAAGTCTCTTGTCCCATCCTTGCTTTAAAATTTCTACATGACCTCATATTTTAATGATCATAAACAGATGGAAACATACAGAACTGTAAAGAAATAACTTTAAAGGAGGATAAATAGACAAATACATACAAAAGAAGGTGAGAAAAAGCTGAGTATTTATTGCATTTTTTGAAAAATGAAATGTAACAATGATTTCCCAGAAGATACTTGATAACCTTGATTGGCATAGCCTAAACAATCTTAGATCCACTGTTATTTTTAACTTTTTGGCAAGAACCAAGTTTGTAAAAAACCATTTTCCCCTAAAATTTAAGTGTTTTCCCTTTGGAGGTAGTCATTACTTGGGAGGAGAAACAATAAACTGAATGGCCTATTTATAATAATGTTTATTTAGCACATACTGATTAAGACCTTAGGTAAATAGTGGGGAGAGAGCAACCAGGAGACTGTGTTTGTTTGGTGTAGGAAGTTGTTAGGTGGGACCCTGGTATTTTCATAAACTAGGGGGAAATTTTAAAAAAGCATTGAGAAGGTGACTACAGAGAGACAATGGATATAGCTCAACTTTTGTATCTGGGTGCTAAAAAAAATATACTTCATATACGAACTAACGAAAGAAAAAAGTACCTTTTCTAGATTATCTGAATATAGTTGGGCCACAGGAGAGGGAAAAAGTGAACCTTTAGAGTCAAATTAGTCCTTAGCAGACAGAGCTTTCAGGAAATTCAGGAAGTAGAGAAAATCAAGAAAACTGTATCAAATCTGAACAGTGTTCCAGGATAAGGAGGTATAAATTTGGAAATGTGGGGAAAGAAGATCTAAAAGCACAGACTCTGGGCTTTAGTGGAACAGGAGTGTTTGAAGATATAGGAAACTCAGAAAGGAGCACAGGGACTGGATCTGTGGAACTAATGACTATTGAAAAGTATAGGAAAGTGGTCTTGGTCCACAGGCGACCCAAAGGGTGTAGGCTCTTGTGAAATGCACTTCAACAAACAGTTTTTATGTGAAAATGAAATAGTCGTAGACCTCAAAGAGCTTACATTCTACAAGAGGAAAAAAGGGAGCTGGATCTCTAGAAGACGAGCACTGAAAGGTGTAGGGTTTCAGGAAAGGGGACTGAGTCCTGGCAGAGGAGAGTTGAAGGGTGAGGAAGGTCAGAAAAGAGAGCAGTCCCTCGAAGACATGTATGTGTAGGGAGGAACATAGGATTTGGATCCCTAGAACAGGAAAGCCACAGGGTATGATGGCTCAGGAAGGCAGAACTTTGGAACAGAAGAGCTCAACTGCATGAGAGTCAGGAAGTGGATCCCAGGAATAGGAAAACTGAAGGCCACTGGGATAACTCAGAAAGGGGAGAGAGAAATGAGTTTTTAGAACTTGAGAATTGAAGAGTATGGGGCTCAGAAGAAGGGGGCATACTGGAAAACTGAGTTTCTGAAACATAAGTTAAAAAGAATGGGGCCTAGGAAGGGGAGTCTGGATGCTTGGTATAGGTTGCTGAGGAAGGGGAAAGAAAGTAGGCTGGGTCCTCGGAACCTGACACCCACAAACTTCAGCAAAGGAGCCAGGGTCCCTGGAATGGGAGAGGTGAAAGTAAATGGGGTTAAGAAAAGGAGCTAAGTCTCTGGAAAAGGAAAAGCAAAGGGTATGGGACTCAGAACAGGGGCTGGGCTGGGCTCTTGGACTAGGAGAGCTGAAGGTGGGGGGGTTCAGAAAGGGAGCTGTAATGCTAGGACAGGAGAGCTGAAACTTGTGGAAATCAGAAAGGTCCCTGGGTCTCTGGAGCAGAAGAGTTGAAGGGGGGAAAGGGGCCAGGAAAGGGGCTCAATCCCGAGAATAGGGTAAGTTTAAGGGTGTAGCTGCTCAGGAAGGGAGTTAGAATAAGGTAAGATGAAAGATGTGAGGCTCAGAAAGGGAGCTGGCTTCCTAAAGCAGGAGAGTTGAAGTAAGTGATTTGGAAAGGCTAAGTTCCCAAAACGGTGGGGAAGGGTGAGATGTGGGCTCAGGAAGAAGGCTTGGTTCCTGGACTAGAAAAGGTGAAGGGTTTGAGGTATGGGAAGGGGCTAGCTCTCTGGAAAAAGAGAATTGAAGAGGGTGGGGCTCAGGAAGGGGGCTGGCTCCCTGGAACAGGAGAGCTCCTTGGAACAGTGGGGGTCAGGAAAGGGAGCTTAGTCCTTTGAACAGGAGAAGCTTAAGGGTGTGAGCTCAGAAAGTGTTCTCTGGCTTCCATAAGGGTGTGAGGCTCAGGAAGGGGGCTGGCTCCCTGGAACAAGGAAGCAGAAAGCTCTAGGGTTAAGGGGGACTTAGCCCTCTTGAGAGGGAGAGGGCAAACTTGAGTGTGGGGCCCATGAAGTGGACTAAGTCTCAGAAAGAAGAAACCTATAGGAAGTGGAAAGGGGCCTAAGTCTCTGGAATAAGAGGCCTAAAGGGTATGGGGTCAGGAAAAGGTCTAACTCAGTGGAACAGGACAGCCGAAAGTTGGGTGGGGGAGGGGGGAGGAGAGGGTTTTGAGACCTTGGAATAGGGACAGCTGAATGCGGAGTCAGGAAGGTGTGGTGAGATCCTGGAAAACGACAGCTGAAGGCAGCAAAGTCGGGGTGGGGTGGGACGCTGAGACCCTGGAAAAGGGTGAGACCCAGCTGAAGACTGCTGGGACAGGAAGGAGAGTCTAGACCCTGGGATGTAGGGAGGTGAAGGCAGCGCAGTCAGGAAGCGGGGGAGGGGCTGAGACTCCGGAATAGAGGGAGGTGAAGGCAGTGGGTTCAGGAGGGGGCTGACCCCACGCCAGGGCGGGAGCCCCACGCCCAGAGCACGCGTGGGGCAGCGTCCCGACAGCTCGGAAGCGCGCGGCGGAGCCGAGGGAAGAATTCCGGAGGAGGGATGGAGAGGGCTCCGTTGAACGGTCCTGGGCGGCGGGAGAGAAGGGCCCGCACTCACCGCAGTTCGAAACGTCCCTTACCCGCAAGTGCAAATCTGGCACAGACAGAGGAGCGTCATCGTCCCGCCGAAGCCTTCCCTCCGCCGTTTCTAACACTCTAGAACCGAAGCCGTAACCAAGGCAACCCCGGGCTGCCTAGTGACGGCCGCGGCGTCCTATGAACGGGGCGGGCTTCCGGCGACGTCACAGGGGGCGGGCGAGTCGAAGGTCGCGGTCCTCGCCACGCCCCCTATCCCCTCCTCCCCCTTCCCCAGCTCCCCCATCCTCGAGTTCCGGGTGTGGAACAGCCTCAGCGTCTCCTCCGGCACGCGTGGTGGCGCCTGAGCTGCTGGGCTTGACATCGGCTCCTTGGCTTTTTTTGTCATCTGTAACTGAGTGAGTGGGTGAGTTGGGGGACCTCGGGAGGCAGGTGGGCAGGGGGCTGGAACGACTTCTGGGTGACTGCCTCCCGCGTTCTCCTTCTAGATAGCTTGGAGATCGGCTTCCCCGGCCGGCGTCACTCGCTGGGGTCAGAGGTCGCGCACGCCCAGGGTGTCAGAGCTGAAAGAGGGAACCCTGGGAAGTTGTGAGGCGCCGGCGCCCCGCGCGGCTCGGGGCGGGCTTCAGCCCCCGTGGGCCCCTTCCCCCCGGGGCCTCGTCCCTCACCTCTCCGGTGTCACCCTCTGGTTCTCCCCGCCACGCCCCCCAGATCAAAGTACGATCCTAGAGGGGCCGGATGCGAAGCGGGCTCGGCAGCCTGGCTCCCGCGGCCCCAGCTCTGGGGAAGGGCCGGCGGGAAACTTGGGCGAGGCGTGGAGGCTGAGCGCTCCCTCGGGACGGAGGAGGGAACGGCAGGGGAGCAGTTGTGGAGTGCCGAGGCCTGGCTCTGCCCCGATGACTTGGGATGGGTCATTTCCCCGCGCTCAGTCCCAGTGTCCTCATCCTGAACATAAATGAGACCAGGAGTCTCTAAACTTATTTTGGTGGGTTGAGGTATAGGGGGTTCATGGACTCCTTGGGCAGACTGGCGAAATCGATGAGCCCCTTCTCAAAACAATGTTTTTAGATGCACAAAATAAAATACATAGGATTACAAAGGAAGCGAAATGTATAGAAAAATAGTTATGAAGCCACATTTAACATACGAGTGTGTTTATAGACACACATGTATACGTATGTAGTGCATACGAATGTATTTGTAGATGTACATACATATATGTGTGTGTACACGCAGGTATGTGTATATTAGGATTAATGAGATAAGGCTGGAAATGTAAACCTGTATCGTTGAAGGTTTTGAATGCCCTGCAAAAGAAGTGTTTTAAACTTTAATGGGTAGGCAATAGTGAGTCGTTGAAGCTCATTTTGAAGAGAGGAATGTGATATGGCCATTAGGTCATCATTTATAAAATGTTTTATTATATGCCATACGTTGCTAAGTGCAGGGGATGCAGAGAAAATTATATATATGCGTGTATGTGTATCTCTCTGTATGTGTGTGTATGTATACATTTATGTGTATAGAGAGTTCACCAGATCCCAGGTTAACTCCTCTCGGAAAGATCTCTGAGGTCAGTCAGCAAGCTTACTATTAAGAGCTTACTATATGCAGGGATACTGTGCTAAGCACTGAGGGTACAAAGAAAGAGAGGAACATGGTTCTTGCCTCTAAATCTATCATACTGTGATTCTAGGCACTGAGGATCCAGAGACAGAAAAAAAAAAAAGACTCTGCCCTCAAGTTTACGTTCTGCTTTTCACTTTGCCATAGCTCCTCCCTAAATTACAGTCCACTACTCACCACGGTTACTTCTTACTTAGTGATAAGGACTCAGAAGGTGGCCCAGAGTAGTTGAACATATAGTATCAAGAAGTTGGCTTTAGGAATCAACAGAATACTTGCCTTTTTGGTCTTCGTTGGCATTGTACAGATTGTTTCAAAAGTCTTAGGATATTTAATAAGCGTTGTTGGTAGTGCAGTTTTAAGCTAATAAAGTTTAAAGACTTTTGGGGTATCCTGTATATCTAAATAGACCTGGTTCTACCATTAACTCACTGCATGGGCAAGTTACTTCACTTTTGGTCCTCAGTTATTCATCTGTAAAATGAGGATGTTGGGCTATATTACTTATATGATCTCTTTCCATCTGGTAGTTGGGGCTTAAATTGAGAGTTACAAGGGGCTTTCTGGTTCTTTGAGTCCAACTCTTCATTTTACTATTAAGCAAACCCTGAGTCCCAGAGAGTTATTAAGTGACTTGAAAGATGGACCAATTAAGATTGTAAACTTTTTTTTTTTTTAAGTTAAAAGCTACAACTGTGGAAATAAATTTTGAATTATTGAAGATACTTAAAGTAATTTTTGTTTTGCCTATGTGGGCATTTTAAAAACTTGTTTCTCTTGTTTTTAATGACTCATATTAAAGATTTATGTAAATATCTCTAGGTCATGATGAATCAGTTTCTAAATCTACTGCTCTGTACATTTAAAAGGAGGCAAGCTAGGTATCACAGTAGAGTGAGTCATGGACCTGGAGTCAGGAAGACTTGAGTTCAAATCCAGTCTCAGACACCAGCTGTGTGACTGGGCAAGTCACGTAACCTTTCTTGGCTTCAACTTCCTCAGCTGTAAAATGGGAATAGCATCTGCCTCCCAGAGTGGTTATGAGGATAAAATGAAATCATATTTGTAAGGTTTTAGCAAACCTTAAAGTGCTATATAAATAGTGTGTTCAGTCACTTTTTAAGTTGTGTCTGATTTTTCAAGACACATTTGGGATTTTCTTGGCAAAGATACTGGAGTGGTTTGCCATTTCCTTCTCCAGCTCATTTTATAGATGAGGAAACAGAGGTAAACAGGGTTAAGTGACTTGCCCAGAGTCCCACAGCAAGTAAGTGTCTGAGGCCAGATTTGAACTCAGGGAGATGCTTCTTCTGCCTCCAGGCCTGGCACTCTATTCACTGCACCACTTAGCTGCTCCATATATAAATATAAATGTTGTCAATTATATGCATTAAACAGTGTGCAAAAGACTGAAATTCTGCAAGTATGTGGCTTTGATTTTTAACTAAAATGCTTACTGTCATAGTAGTTATAAATATACAAAAAAGAAAATGAATAACAAGGAAAGTTGCTCTATGATTTATCTGCAAGATATTAAGATATAATTGACTAAAATGTCATCCTAGAACTTACAGCAGCCTGTTTATTCATTCACTTTATGGTAACTTTTGAAGAAATTAATTGATTAAAAAGTTTTTAAAAATTCTTTACTGAAAAAGATTATATAGATATACTGAAAGATGAATTTTAGAATCAGTAGCCCCATCCTGAAACCAAATCCCAGGCATTGTTTTCAAATACATATACTAAAGCATTTCTTAAAAGAATTTTTAGTAAAATTTTATACATGTATACAAAGTACAGAGATAAATGACTTTCATGGAAGAATTCCAGTGATGTCATTCTGCTTATAGGCTGCATAAATGAAATAATGTTTTTGTCATGTTGAGTGTTATTAATTTAAAGAAGGAATGGTGAAGACCACTGACCTATAGCAAAAATGAAGGGCCACAAAGTAAAAGCTTTTTTTTCTATCAAGAAATAATAAAATATTATAGCCATCTGCTTTTTAAATTAAGGAGAATAAAAACTTATTTAAAACAACAAAGGATTTTTTTAAAGTTCCTTATTATACTTAGTTTAAGGAAGAAAGACTTTATTTAAGGTCTGCTTTTTTTTTAATAAACTGTATAAAATTAAAGTGAGGGCTAAATTTTGCTCAGAACCTAGAGTTTATGTGTTGCTAGAGCCTAAAAGTAGGGCTTAAATTTTGTAGACTCTCTAGCATATTCTTTGAGGTGAGAGCCAGTATAGGAAGTGGGGAATAGGAAATTCATATTTGTATGGAAAGAAACCAAAAACAGTTAAATACCCTATCAAAAAGCCCTCTCAGGCTGAATTTTTAGTTTTATAGAAGTATAAACTGCACATGTTCAATTTTTATTTTCTTTGTAGCTTATGTTTCACTATTATCTTAAAGCTAATACTGCACAGGTTTAAATTCTTCCAGGTGTGACTCAGCTCTCTGGAGATGAGCTTTTTTGGGATATATTTTTTTATCAAAGTATCTAATGTGGACATGGTAGATAACAGTTTTCAATTGATTTTTGCAGTCTGATAATCAAGGCTTTCCACCCCTGGTCTTTCCTAGCTTTCACTACTCTCCAATATGGAAATATAAATCCATCTAGTTGGTCCTTAGTTCCATTATCCCTTAAGTATAAATAGTTCAATATGGGTACCTTCTATAGTATGCCTTCCCCAGACCCTATTAACTCTAGTGCCTCCTCTCAGCTAATTATTTTCTATATATTCTATATATAGCTTGTTTTGTATATATTTGTTTATGTGTTCTCTCCCCCATTAGAATGTAAGCTCCTTGATGGCAGGGACTCTCTTTTGCCTCTTTTTGTATCCCCAGCATTTAGCACAGGGCCTGGCACATAGTAGGCTCTTAATAAACGTTTATTGATTGATTGACTATAACTTTGCTGAATGCTGTTTTTCTCATCTAAAATATGGTTCTCCGTACTCTCAATAGTATCCTAATTATTCCTCTACCATTGAAAATATAGCAGAGGCCTTATGTTTTCCAGGGCATTTGCCTCTTATCTCACAATCTGCTTACCCCAGTTCTCTTAGAATACTTACTGTCCCTGCCCATGGTCTCCAAAGTGTCTCCTCTCCCACGTGCTAGACTTTGGCATGACCTCAGGGTATATAACCTAGTGAAAGGTGGGGTAGGAAGATAGATTTCCAGTCTTCCCACATATCCAGTTGTTAGGCTTGTCTCCAGCACAACCCATCACCCCTTTACTTCTTATCTTTAAGAATCCCCCCTTTTACCCCCTCACTCTACTAAGAGCCTCATGTAACTGTGTGAGCAGCCTTTCCCTGGACTGAGATGATAGGCTTCTCAAAGTGAATAAACACAAGTTGACGGCAACATTCTCCCTTGCCACCCGTGTACCTATACCTTGTCATCCCCCAGATTATCTATGGCTGCTGCTGGTGCTTCTTGGTGGTCTTTACACTCCTGAATAG